CTCCCCATCGGCTGAATGCGCACGCGCGGCAAGAGCTGCGCGCGCATTCAGCCGGTCACATAGGAAAGCATTCATAATGCTTTCCTATGGACGCTGGCGTGCTCTCACTGTGAAAATCACAGTGAGAAGCACGCAAGCGCCTCTAGTGGCTGCCAATGAGACAGCCACTAGAGGATTAGGGGGAAGGCTTAACCCATTCATAAACATAGCAGTTTCTCTGAAACTGCTATGTTTATAAAAAAATGGGTTAACCCTAGCTGGACCTGGCACCCAGACCACTTCATTAAGCTGAAGTGGTCTGGGTGCCTAGAGTGGTCCTTTAATTTTTCCTGTGGAACACTTTGACATAGTGTATCAACATCGTGAACCCCTCTCCCCCCCACAGTAAACATAAAAGAAGTTGCACTGATTTTTGTATGTAACAGTGTGTGTGTCAAGGTGTGTGTATCTGTGTTTGTATGTGCCAGTGTGTGCATCTATGTGTCAATATGTATCTGTGTGTGTGTATGTATCTGACACAGAGATACACACACACTGGCACATAGTGACACACAGATACACACACTGACACACAGTGTGTATCTGTGTGCATATGTATGTATCTGTGTGTCAAGGTGTGCATATCTGTTTGTACGTGCTGGTGTGTGTCTGTGTATCAAGGTGTGTGTATCTGTGTTTTTATATGCCAGTGTGTATCTGTGTGTCAGTGTGTATGAATCTGACACACATATATATATATATACTAACACACAGACACACACTGGCACATAGTGGCACACAGATACACACAGACACACACACTCCTTGACACACAGGTACACACCCTCAGATACACATACACTATGTCCCTATGGTCCAGTAGTGCTGCTGGACTGGGTGTGCGTTCCCTGGGGTCCAGTGGGGCTGCTGAGCAGCTGGCGTGCAGTCCCTGGGGTCCAGTGAAGCTGATGAGCGGCTGGCTGGCGGGCAGGTGGCGAGGGAGCAGTGATCTTCTTGCTCAGCTCCCTCGTGCGCCTCTTAGTGATGCCTGAGCCGGAGTTACTTCATATAATGTAACTGGGTTAAGGATTAAAAAATACAGTTACAAAATACAGTTAAAAAAACAGCGCACACACAAAAAATACAGCTTTACATTTAACAATGCTACTTAAAATCACCTATCTTAGAAAATAAATATGGGGATTCAGTTCCACCATATGGCCATATTGTGTTAAGCCCACCACTATGTCACAATATCGTGGGTCCTACACTAATTTTAGCATGGGAAATTTACATGCTAACTCCTTGATTTAAGCATTACTGTGATCACTTCCAAGGGGGCACCCATAATGGATGCGTGGGGTGCTCAGCCCAACAGGAATCTGGTTTGGATTCCAAATCTACACAGATTAAAACATCAACAACAGGATGATAAATAGTGATAGTATAAACCTAGATAATAATGGAACTTGTGATTATGAGCATATACCTAGGCCAAGTAATATGGATGTGAAAGTGAAATACGCAGTAGTGCTACATCTAATTATTATTTCCCACTGTGCGTCCTTCCAGAAGAAGGACCTGACGTATGTATGAAAAAGATTGGAACATCTCTAGTTACTACCAGCAAGTGAAGTATGTGAGATCTAGTAAGTACCAGGAGTTGTGGATTATAGAAGGCTTAGGTAAAACTGTGACAAGCCGGGGAGGCCTGAATATGGTTAAATGTGTAATGAGGGGTTCTAGGTTCTCCTGTGTGCAGAGAGATGGTCATATAGGAAGGAATTGTTGTTACTAACAAGGCAGAGATTAATAATCAATCAAGCATAGTATAATAGGGTTGTAAAGTTGGAAATTACATATATAATAGCCTAAATGAGTGTCCAAATTTTTGTCATAGTGGACACTAGGAGGACCGTATGTAACGTATGGAGTGAAGGTCTAGTGAGAGCCATGTGTAGAGGTATTGCAGCAGAGGACAAGATTGCTCAATGTAAATCTTATGTCATATGTAATTGCCCAAATGAGTGGCCTAAATTGTGTTGTAGTTGATTGCCCGCAGAGGACCGTATGCAACATATACAGTGAAGGCCTAGGGAGAACCGTGTGTAGACATCCAAGTCCAGAAAGAGCTTAAAACAATGTAAATAGTGACAGACATTGAATTAACACAGAATATTAACAGGCAGTACCATAAATGACAACCACCTGTATAGGCCCAAGTTTGGGTCTGACATAAATTGGTTGCAAGACATAGCAATATAATTATTAGACATTGAAGGTCCAATGAATGCCTGAATACCCAGAGAGCAGAAATATAGACCATATAAGATTGAGGCTAGAAGAGGCCTGGTGAACATAAGTAACAAATGCTGATCTTCTCAAAGCTGACAAGAATAAGGCTGTGTGGGCCGACAATAATAAGCAGCAAATTAAAAACTGAATATTGAAATGTAGGGTGACTAGCTGAATTCATATGATAAAATATGATATGGTTCAATTAGGGCTGAATACAGTAAGCAGAATAAATGAACCAAATTGAGATCACTGTGATAGTATGTATGAATATGGCCTGAACTGTGAATACCACCATAGTTAGTAGAAGGTTGAAAACATGTTGAATGTCAGTACTAACGTGGCCCAACGCAGGCTGAACAAACTTACAATGTAAACAAACAAAGGTCAGGTGAGTGGGGGGAAAAGTAAAATTAACGTGCAGGCAAGCCTCTGTAATAAAGTCACTCCCAACTTCAAATCACAACGAACAATAACAAGTAAGAGTGCGCCACAATCACTTGTCTTTACCAGCTTGTCTCCAATAAATTTAGGAGACAAATTATAACTAGAATAAGAGATCAGTGTAGTGAAAAGTATAACAATTTATTCAAATGTCAAATAAATATATAACAAAGTACCATCCAATAAAAAACAGCCTCAATGGGCTTAAAACCCTTCTGGTCAGCAGCTGAAAATACAATATAAAGTGCACAATGCAAACCAATAAGTAAAGGGAAGTAAGGATAAATATCTGTAAATAGCCACTACCACACACTATCCCTTCACAACCTCCATATGGAGTAGTAGATTTCCAAACAGGGGTGATTTTCCTTGTGGTTGTCCGAGAGCACGTTATTGATTCTGGTTATTCTGGTTATTTGACTTTGGCATTGTTTTTGACTTCCCTGTTTTCTGGCATCCCTGACTCCTGGCTTTTCATTATCGTTGTGTCTCTTTCTGTATCCCTTGACCTCGGCTATTGCTGACTATTCTTTGGTACGTTAGTCCAGACATTCTAAGGTCCGGCATACGTTACCTATCAGTCCTCTGTGTTACACAATTCTACGTGCTGGATCATTCTGTAATCCTGACAAAAGGTACAAGACACTCACTAGTCTGGCTGGATTAGGATACCAACAGTTACTTTTGGATGTATTTTTGCTATTTTTGAGATTAATCAAAGGGGATTGTTGCCCTTTTATGGAATGCTTCATTTTTTTATGTTGGAGTTTTAAGGAACAGATGTCAACTGGGCTAGCTTTCAATTGCATCCCAGCTGCTTTAAAACACTGTTATTCTAGCAGGAGCTTTATTATTTAACAACCACTTCAGGATATACTGAGAGCCGGATCTTGTAATATTGCAACAATGAGAGCAGTAGTGGTGCCTGTTTAATGGATTGGCATATTTATTTTAATGTTTTCACATTGTATTAGGGTATTTGTACTTTTCTCTACCCCCAGTAGTGTTCCATCACAAACATTAAGGACCTTGGTTATAATATTGATACAGGATAGATGCCTGAATTATGGCTCAATGGTACAAAAGCAAAGTAATTATTCGGCATCTCTGCATGCAAGAATTAAATATGCCATGTTGCTCATTATTTTAAAATAAGTTATTTATATCTTTGTGTCATTATTTCCCTTAAGAACTGTAAGACTGTTGCAAAACACAGTTATAATGCCACTTAGTCAGTCATACAGCTGTCTTTTAGTATTTTAGCCCACTGACATTTTTTTCCTCTTACTGTGCGTTATTGACTGAAACAATTTTGGTACTTTACATATGTTTCATTGAATGATCACACTATTGTAGTGCATCCATATATAGCAGGGGTAGGCAACCTATGGCACATGTGCCATGCATGGCACTCAAGGCGCCTTTGCCTGGCACTCAAGGCTGGTAGAGTCAAACTGGTTCCAGATTATCAGAAATCCCTGTGTGACTTCAGATATCTGCTCGTACAAAAAGGTGGTAAGTGATAATCATCAATGTATGCATTACAGCACTTAGAGAAAGTGAGCTCAGAAATCTTCCTGCCAGAACTAGTAGCAGCTATGGCAACTCCTGCCCTTGACCTGTACCTTGCAA